CAAGAGAAGCCACTGCAATGAGAAGCCCGCGCACTGCAACGAAGAGTAGCCCCCGCTCGCCACAACCAGAGAAAGCCCGCGCACAGCAATGAAGACCCAACGCAGCCAAAAATAAATGAATAAATTTATTTAAAAAAAAAAAAAAAGAGACCCTGAGTCAAAACCAGGGCTCAAGCTGCGGGGAGGTGGGCCCATTCCCTGAGCTTGCCTGGTGCGTGGGCAAGTGTGTGCACATTAGGGAATAACTAGGCCTCTGCGTGTCCTTGTGTGTGTATACACACTTAACTCGCCCCCAGACCCACATACACAGCATGCGTATGTGCTGGCGCCCACTGCTGTCTGCCCAGGCTGCTGTGTCACTCCACAGCCGCACTCGCCCAGGAGCAGGCGTGTCAGTGTGATACCCCTTGAGTCCTTCATCACCCCACCGCAGGCAGCCCCTCCTGAGGGCTGTCCCAGGCGCCTGGAGGAGGTGCAGCACGGCCCTCCTCCTGGTTCCTGCTTACTCACGCGGACACCTCTGTCCCCCAGGGTCTAATCAGTACCACTCCCCCAACCTCAGGCCCCACTTGCATTCAGCCTCTTCCAGAAGGATCTACGGCCACCTCCTCATTATTATGTTCTTTTTTATTCAACAAACATTTATGGGAGACTACTCCAGGCTAGGCACCAAGACACCCAGGAGCACGGCCCGGCCCCTGACTTCCAGAAACTCCCAGGTTTATGGGGAGACAGGCACAGTCGTGGTGGCTGCAGGGCACAGAGGCAGGCACCAGGGCCGTCGGGCAGGGGGTCATCTTGGAGGAGACAGTACCAGGGTCAAGCTGCGGAAAGGTCAGCATGTGTCCTGTGGGGTGAGTGGTGGCTTCTGTCAGGGAGGACGTGGTAAGAAGGGAAGACCGGAGCGCTGGGGTTGGGGGACACGGGGCAGGAGGGTGTCCCTTCCCACTTGTGCAGGGCAGCTCATTGGCCCACAGCCAAGGGCCCCCTGGAAGGGAGTCTTCTCCCACCCCCACCCCCACCCCCGCCCCGGGAGGAGGAGTTGGGAGGGGTTCCATTCCCACCTCTCCCAACTCTGGCCCTTCTGCCCAGTGAGCAGGAGTGGGGGTGGGCATTGATGGTAATCTCCCTCCTCCCAGTCCCCGGGGTCCTCCTCCTAGTCTCCCTTTCAGTGAGTGCCTGGCGTATTGTTCCGCCTTTGTAAAGAGGCAGATCGAGTGACAAAGCAGGGTGGGTGGGCAGCAGCCCAAGAGGCCTCTCTCTCTCAGGCAGCATCTGCATGGGGGAGGGGCTGTTCTACACCCCCCACCTCTGGCTTCCAGCAGCAGCTGTTGTCATGGTGACAAGCCTGGCATCCCATGGCTCCTGGGGCATCCTCCCCACTGTGGCTGCCGGAGGAAGGGCCCCCGGACTCCTCTCCACCCTGGTTGGGGGCGGGGCACAAAAAAACCTGGCTCCCTGGACAGTCCTAGCAGGGGGGAAGCCTCCAGCCTTCTGTGCCTCCCAATCCGGCTGCCTGCACAGGGGCAGCACCAGAGCCCCCGCCTCTTACAGACACTGTGATGTGGTGGGCTCAGGCCATGCACCTCTGTCATCCATGCGTCTCTGCCTTCTTGGGGCAAGATACAGAGAGAAATAAAATGTCCCCAGGGTCTTGAGCAGCTGCTGGCATTGGGGCAGAGGGAGGAGATGGATGGAAGGCTAACAGTACATGAGTGTACAAGTGGGGAGAGTGTGTAGGCAAGGACTCTGGGCCCACGGAGCAGAGCCTCCAGCCCCATCCAGCAGAGCTGGGGGGCTACCCCTAGGAGGCTGGTGTGCCCAACACAGCAGAAGAGAAGGGCCTTCTGGGCTGGGGAGATTGAAGGCATGACATGGCATGGATTTCCAAGGAGTTGGTCGTGGCAGGAAAGGAAGAGACGGATGGGGGCTATACCTGGAAGGGCTTCTGCTGCCATCCCCAGGAGTATGACCTTCACCCTGGGCAATGGGAAGCTGCCACTGGCATTTCGGGAACCTCCTTGACCAGGTGGTCGAAGCCAGGTCCTTTTTTCAAAGTTACCCTATTTCTGTGCTACCTCTTTGGGAAGTTCAGGAGCTTGCCGCTGCGCCTCTCACGGCTCAGGTGGGCCGAGTTTGCATTTCTTGCAGGGCACAGGGCTGGCTGCATCTCCATGGAGTCCCAATCTCTCGGGTCCTCTTGGAGAGCCAGAGGCTGGGTGCTTCTCCCTTCCCTGCTCCAGCACAGCTCTAAGAGGAGGTGAGCACTAATTACAGCTGCTGCCCCGACTCCTTGCTGTGCCTCCACCACATGCCAGGCTCTACAGCAGGGCAGTGTTGGCTGAGCAGGACCAGCTGGGCAGGTGCCCTTGCTCTGGTAGTGACAGGCAGCCTCATGCAGTAGAAGAGCCTGAATGCCATCCCTGACCCTTGTGAGCTGTGTAATCCCAGGCAAATATCTTGAGTTTTCTTTTTTTTTAATTTTATTTATTTACTTTTGGCTGCACTGGATCTTTGTTGCTGCGCGCGGGCTTTCTCTAGTTGTGGCGAGTGGGGCCTACTCTTTGTTGTGGTGCGCGGACTTCTCATTGCAGTGGCTTCTCTTGTTGCAGAGCACAGGCTTAGTTGCTCCGCAGTATGTGGGATCTTCCCGGACCAGGGCTCGAACCCGTGTCCCTTGCATTGGCAGGCAGATTCTTAACCACTGTGCCACCAAGGAAGCCCCTCTTGAGTTTTCTGAGCCTCAATTTCTCATCTGTAAAATGGGCACAGAATTCCTTGCAGGGCTGTTATGAGAGTTTAAAAAGTCACTGTATAGGGCTTCTCTGGTGGCGCCGTGGTTTAGAATTCGCCTGCCAGTGCAGGGGACAAGGGTTCAAGCCCTGGTCCGGGAAGATCCCACATGCCGCAGAGCAACTAAGTCCGTGTGCCACAACTACTGAGCCTGCGCTCCAGAGCCCGCGAGCCACAACGCCTGAAGCCCGTGCGCCTAGAGCCTATGCTCTGCAACAAGAGAAGCCACCGCAGTGAGAAGACTGTGCACCGCAACAAAGAGTAGCCCCCGCTCACCGCAACTAGAGAAAGCCCGGCGCAGTAACAAAGACCCAACTCAGCCAAAAATAAATAAATTAAAAAAAAAAAAGTCACTGTGTAAAATGCCTGGCCCAGGGCCCACTTGGCTCACTGTGGGTCCTTGACCAGTTTCCTAGGCCCCCTGCAGTGCAGGTCACTCCCTCAGCCCTTCATCTGCTTGGCATCCCTGAGCAGCTGCTAGAGCTGGACCTATGCCCAGCGCTCACGTGGAAGCTGAGTCTGAGTCTTCCAGGTACCTCTAGGCCAAGGGGGTGAGGACAGATGGGGGTGTGCCATGGAGGAGGGAGGCAGTGTCTCAGGGAGCTTCAGACGAGAGCAGGGCCCTTTGGGTGGCCTGTTTGATGGCACTCGGGTTTCACCCACAAAGCTACCCGGGAACCATGGTGGGAACCAGGCTGGGCAGAGGCGGGAGGGCTGAGGGGCTTTGGGACTCCAGGCAGCCCTGGGCAGCAACCCCAGCCTCTCAGAAACACCTGCCCAACCTGAGGGTGGACGAGTGGTGTAGGCAGCTCAGGGGTCGCAGACTCAGACCTCACTCACTTATTGTCACCGGTCACCACGAGGCCGAGTCATATCCCTAGGACTACCTTGATTCGTTCCATCTGTACAAAGGGAAGGACAGTCCTCCCCGCTCCCCACGGTTTCGGTGCCGCCCGTGGAAGCAGAGTGAGTAAGCTGGTTATCTTCCTGACAGCTGTCTGGCTTAGGTGAGGAGGGTGTGAGGTGTACTAAAATATTCCACGGGTGTCACTGTACGCGGTCCCCTGCTCTGCGGTCTGGGGGGCCTGGCGGGGGCGGGAAGAGGGAGGTGGACGTGGTTCAAGCAGAGAGCGGCAGGCTCTCTGGGCCGAGAGGAATTCCCAGGGGAAAACCTATACGAAGGGAGCGCAGAGGACAGGAGGGGAGGGGGCAGAGGGAGACGGGGTCCTCCAGCTCTGTGCGAAGCAGTTTTCAAGCGGTCCTGAGGCGTCAAGGGGCACCCTAGACAGCAGAACCTCCCGCGGATAGGGACCTCCCCCGAGGCCCACCTGGGAAGGGGAGAATGTACCATTCCTGGACTGCGGAGAGAGACAATGAGGTCAAGTGCGCAGTGTGACGGGTAAGTAGCACGTGAGCAACAAATGAATTGTTCACTTCTACAGGATTATCTGCCGGTTTTACAGAAAAGGAAACAGAGCGAAGAGCCCAAAGCCACATACAACTAGTGAAGAGGCAGAGGCTGCACTTGCAGTGTCCCAGAGTACACGGTCAAGGCGTCCCACGCGTAAAAGCCTTAGAAATCGTCCCTCCTGGGGTAAAAAGAGGTGACGCGGTACGGTGGCAGGGAAATCCTCCGGCTGACTGTCTTGTCGCGGGGAGAGGTTGGGCAGCAACCCTCTCAGAAGGGGAAAAACCGAGTGTGAGCGGGCAGACGAGGTCGCTTGTACACCCCGCCCCGCCAGACCGCGCCCGGGTTAGTGCCTCCCCGCACAGCTGCGAGACGCGGCGCCTTTAAAGCCCGGCTGGGGGCGTGCCCGGCGCGCTGAGGGCACGCCTCTGGGCGCGTCCGTCCGGCGCCCCGCCCCGAGGCTTGTAGCCGCGGCCCCGGGAGGTGGGGCACGCTTTGGCTCGGCGGCCGTTCGAGTGGCGGCGGTTCGGCGGCTCTGCGCCTGCTCTCCCTCCGGCGGCTTCCCCGCGCGCTGCCCAGGGCGCCCGGCCGCGCCCTGACACACTCGGCCAGC